AGTTCCCTCTTGAAGCATCAAATGGAAGTGGGGATGGAAAACAGAGACAGGCCTTTGAAGTTTAGCATTACTTACTGAGTTCTTCCTATACATTTTCAGTATACTGATTCCTGCCAGCAACTGCCCTGTGAAGTCAGGCATCCAACCACTGATGCCAAACAAGGCCACATTTTCTTCTTTCCATTCTGCCCTTCTCCTGCCTGGTTGGAAATCACCATTAACCTCTGCAAAGCTCTTCAATACCTCTCTTAGAAAGGATTCAACCCACACAACACAATTGTTAATCCATGCATTGGTGCTGCTGCCTCTTAATGCTGCTTTGCAAGGGCAAGGACTGCATTTTTTGTTCCACCCACAGTACCCAGCACAAAAGGATGGGATCTGTGAGGGGCATTCCTGTGGCAAAACTACTAGGTGACAAAGACAGGAGGCTTTGGTGCTTTTAGCTTCCTTTCCCCAGCAGAATTGTACTGAGTGAGAACAGCTGCAGAAAGGACACAGTTACATAGGTAGTTTTATCATCAGAAACTCCAAGCACCTCAGACAGGAATTAATAAATAACCTTCATTCCTACCTGAAAATAAGACACTAGGACTGTGTGTAAACTCTGGGAGAGATCTTTGCATTAGGTTACCTTTAGATGTTTGGGTTTCTCATTTGTCTAGAAACATGGTAAGATTGTAAACTCCGTAGAAATTGATGGGGCAAAATTGATCTGCAAAACTACCTTCCCACTTAATACCAGTGAGCAAGAGGATAATGACTTTTAATAGAGATCTGAGATTCTCACATGCTGAGAGTACATGCACTAGAAAGGCAGAGCCTGGTGGGAACCAGAGTAAGAAAGGAGGTAGGATTTTCCACCTACCAGTGACTGACAAAAAAAGATGATCCTATTTCCTGGGATCCCATCCCAGCCAAAGTCTGACCTTGAGAACCTACTCAAAGCAGCCAGTACATCTGTACATTCCAGGTGCAACTGTTCCATCAACAGAAATTATCAGGGCACTGTTCAAAGAAGTCCAAGGGCTCAGACTACTCTCTAAACTGAACTTCAACAGGCTGAAACACCAACATTTCTGAGCTGCTTTATTAAACAAAAGCACAGATGGCTAACTCTCCTGCAACTCTGACCTTGAAAACAAAACTAATTCCAGGCTTATTTACCCCTCCCTTTCCCAGTGACTTAATGCACTTATGTGGTGTGTTGTGAAATTATAAATGCTTTGGGGCACTCTCTAAGCTTCCTTTAATTTTGGAATTAAGTTCTTACTCTGTGAAAATCAACAAAGTTATTATGTATTTGAGCTGACTGCACTCTGAAATCAAAAATGAGCTATAGCATTCACTATAAAAGCATGACGTTAGCATTGTCTGGGGTCATTTTTAGGCAACTGAGACCTCTGCCACTGATCTGTGGAGCGACCTCAGACATCTGCCTTCACTGAGTCTGCTTCTTCTCAGGGAGACCCATTTCTTACCTTCTTATGCAGGAGCCACCCTGATTCAGGTTGCACTCTTTAAATCATTCAGTAATGTGTGAAGATTCAAGCTGCAGAGGCACACAGTTCTTTTCTTAATCTGTTCTGACTCATCACTTTTTAAGGGTAAGCAGTGGAAAGTGGGAACTCAAATTCAGTCCCAGCATAAGGATCTAAAGGACCTCATAAATCTGAGCAACACATTTCAAAGGGTTATTAGTGAAAATGAAATGTATTATTGCAAGAAGCTTCTTCCAGTGAATGCTCTGCAAGCGCAGAGCCCATATAGGTGGGGACAGGGACTGGGTGTGGGAAAGGAAGAATGTCCAGAATAGCCTCAGAGAACGAATTTCATCCCAAAAAATAGAAAAGGATACACACATCCGTAAAGTTCTCTCTTCTCCACCTCATCATCACAGTTTTATAAGTGAATAATGAAGTTGATGACATAATTCTATTATCAACTATCACAATGATTAGTATTGCCAGACCGCCCCTTTTCCAGTGCTCTCTACCATCCACTTATTGCCTTCCACTTTTTTGATTGATGGCTTTTTGGATCAAGGACTGTCTTTAGGGTTATGTTTGTGCCATGAGTCTGTGGTTCAGGACAAAGCCCTATGGGAATAGCTCACCCTGCCTGACTCCCTGCAGGGTTCAGCGCATAGCACCAGCTTCCTGTGCTTCCTTCTCTTCCTTCTCCTTCTGCAAAATGACCAGAAAACCTTCTTGTGCAGAAAGAGTTATGCAAGGACTAGGCATCAGTAGTAGTAAGTTACTCATGTCCATGTTCATGCCTTATGAGCCACACAAGAATAGGAAAAAGAGCATAATGTGTCCTTACCAGGACAAAACAACTAGACCTGATCAGATAGTTGAGAACTCTCAGCAGAGTTTTAATAAGCCCTATTGCTATATCTAAAATGAACAAGTCCTACCAATCATATTTATTAGTATGTCTTGCAAGTGTTCCAGACTTCTTGAGAGAAATAAAAACTGACACAAATAGAGTTTTGATTTAAATAGGATGACTTAGCAAATACTCTAAGAAAGAAACACTTCTAAGCTACTGTGATAATTTAAACTATAATTAAGATACTAAAATATGGCTTGAAAAGAATCTTAGTGATAACACACATGTAGGGAAATATATTGGAAGGAAATGAGAAGATGGAGCAGAGAGGGACGCCTGTGCAATCTGAACTTCTTAAGCTCTCTTCTGCAGCAGCAGGTGCTGCCACTTGATGTCCAGCCTCAAGGATGGGTGAAGCTAAATTAGCCTGGTTGATGACATGCTTATAGTCCTATTTTATCCAGAATAAAATGATCTTTATGTCATCATGTGGAAACAATGAGGGAGGGAATTTATCCAGATAGTATTACAGAATTTCTACATATTTCCAAGGGGGTGCTGTAAATTTTTTTCTGACAGCAGACAGGTGATAGACCAGTCAGTCCTTAACTATTCGACAAGTCTTTCCTTCATGATGGCAGCTTCACAGATGGAGAAGGTGGTGTGCATGCAAAGGGTGAAAACACTGGATTTTCTTCTTTGTTAGATCAATTCTCTCCATATGTTAAACACATGGAGAAGAAAAAAAACTCTGTTTTAATACAGTAAATAAACCAACCAACAAATAAGTGCTTTGGATTCTGCTAGATCCTTCGTAAATGTGATGCATAAATGAACGTAGCATTTTAAGCATAACATAGTTGAAGATCCCCATCCTCCTCAGACTAGTCTTTTTCCATTTTAGCATGAACATTCATGCTCCTGCATTTTCTTTTTCACCCCTCCCTAAGGTCCTCCTTATCCAATCATTTTAGCATGATGATGATAATTACAGCCAAGTCATGGAATGAAAATAGAAGGCGGATGGTAAGATGGTCCTGGACGTCATCTGGATGCAAGTGATGCACGAGTATCTAATTCATTAAGGGAGCAGGAGGATTAGGATGGTGCTGAGCATCTATTCTATTTAATTTGACATTCCATTAATTTACTCTCTCAACGGACAGGACAGGGGGTGCAACATAATTATAGCTCCGAATCTGAAAACTCTGGCATGTTTGAAGACTTATTAGTTTGGTGGCAGTTGGCTGGGGGAAGCATAGCAAAAGAGATCAGCAAACTTTGTGCTCACTACACATATTACGCTTCGGTAATAAGGTGCATGTGGGACTGGTGGAGTTCACCTTGGAGGTTAAGGACACTGCCTCTGTGTAGAGAATGACTTTCTAAAAGCCTTGAGAGTAGAAACTTCCAAGGATGTTTCACAAGATGAATCTCTTTTGTATCAGACACAACAATTGCTTTAAAACTGGGATGGAAGATGCATGATCCTAATTTTCTTCTTGGAATGAACAGCACTGCTGAAAATGCAAACCCCTCTTCCCAGCAAGCCTCTTTTCTCACATAGCTACTCAAACAGTCATAGTGATTCACAGATCGAATTTTACTGTGAACAAATGTTCAACAGCAGCAAATCCACAGGCCATGCAGGTTTTACATGCATTCAGCCTGAGCAGGCAATGTGCATGTCCTGCCTGCACCTTCAAACTGCTGCTCTGGAACATGCAGGACACCATGTTGGCACAGAAACTCTTGGGAAAAAGAAATATAGAAAAATATCTGCACCCTCACCTCCAGGCATCAAAATAAATGGTCAGATTTTTCAAGATCTCTCAAAACACATCAGCAACTGGGGAATCTGAGAATTTGGAAAAGCGTCCCCAGTGATTTATAACACTAAACAAACCCTTTAACACATATCCCACTCAAGCTCGTATCTCACCTTGAAGCCACATCGGATTTTATTTCTTTGGTAGAGAAGTAGAGATGTGAAAAGAGATGTAACAGGAAATCCCACTAATATGTTTCTCACAGAAAAAGGGACACCATGATACCACAGTAATTCAAACTATTGGATACCACTGGCTATCACAGATGCAGCCTTAGAGAAGCTGACTCATTAAAAACGACAGAAGTCACAGTACCTAGACACTTAAATAAACTTAGGATGTACAAACAGACAGACCTTTTCACTCCATTTCAATTTAATTAGCTTAGGGCTGGCAGCCAGATGGACAGTATTAAACAGGCACCCTCAGTTAAATCATACAGCAGAGCATCAGGAACTTCTTGTCACCATCCGTCACATCCAGTATCTGTGGGAGACAGAGGCCTGCTGCATTCAGATTGTAGCCCCCACAAGGCAATGAAGAGAAGTGACTGTTCCCCTTGGTCCTGCAATTTGGTCGATGAGAAAATGAACATGAGCCGGCTTCAGTGTGCGCTCGCAGCCCAGAAAGCCAACCGTATCCTGGGCTGCATCAAAAGGAGCGTGACCAGCAGGTCGAAGGAGGTGATCCTGCCCCTTTACTCTGCTCTTGTGAGACCTCACCTGGAGTACTGTGATCTTAAGGTCCTTTCCAGCCCAAACTATTCTATGATTCTATGAGTCTATATTTAAGGACCTGATGGAACTGAATCAACATATCCAAAGAGGTAAAACTCACCTGGCAGATGAAACCAGTGGATGAGCATTGCCGAACCCAGAGACTAAATTTCCTCTTTTTCCTCTTGCGCAGCTCCCTCTCCGTGCAAGTGGCAATGAAGACAGGATCTTCATCAATCAGGGGTTCATGTAGTACCTGAAATCGGCAGGAAAGGGGAACAGGGGGAGGGAGGGAGAAACAGAATGGTGTATGATTGCAGAAAAAATAAAAATGGAGCTTCAAATTCTTCCAAGGAAATACAATCCTTGCACTGTGCTCGTGTGCATCACTTCATACGAAGGAGCAAACCCACTTTCTTTTAATGCTATCCAACAAAATACCATCCAACAAAAAACAAAGCCTGGTCAGGCACAGTCCATGGTGGATGGCTGCTCTACACATGGTTCGCAAACACTGCAAAGCATGGCGCTCACTTCTCACCAGCAGCTACAGTTTAACATCCCTCCAAAATGTGGCCTCTACCCGTCACTATCAGCTACAATTCAATATCCCTCCAAAATGAGGCAGGGGATAGGATGGGATGTGGAGATTGTTAGGAGCATCCTTCTCCAAGCTTCAGCATCAGCTTCATTTTGTTCGGCAGAACATCTTCCACCCAAACACCCCCTATAATACTTTGTAAGGGATGCTCCTTGGTTACAGAAAAGGAAAACACACAGCAAAGAGAGAGAGAAGTTAAGGAAGAAAAAGGATATTTTCTGCTGCCACTTAAGGAAGTGTTGAAGAGACAGAAAACATTTTTTCCTGGTGGCAGCAGCTTCAGGAAAGCCTCTCTTGCCTCAGGAGCTGAGGAGGCAGAAAGATAAAGGACCAGAGGCAGTAATAAAAAAAGACAAGACAGGCTGGACCAAGTAATGAAAACCTGTGAAAGTTAAGCAATTTCTGCATTCTCCATCCAGATGTTATAAATAGTTCCCTGTTCCTTATAGCTGTTTTGTTACATTTCTCTCCATTAATTCTGTAGCAAAGTCATTCAAGTTTTACACAACAGAACACACCTATAGGAAAACACTATTACCTCCTTGCAGCTCTTAGGTAGCTATGCATGACACATACATCCCTGTGAGTTGTTTAGCAAGTCACTTGTAAGCGTAAAAATGCTTGGGAACTGTTGAAAGGTCTCAGCTAATGAATGCTGACAGAATTCAGACACCTACATCTACATCAGAGCAAGCCACTGCAGGCTCCTGTCCTATTAGTTGAGGCGAAAGAAGCACCAGCAGGCCAGAACTCATACTCCTATAAAGAAATGTCAGTCAGGTAGGTCATCATCTAAAGGAGCTCATTCTTTTCCATTGACATAACCCCAGAATCTAGACTCAGATACAGGCATCCAAAAAGCAGAGGCTCACACTCTCAGACCAAGCCTTTCCACTCCTGCATGTGTGCTGCTTTTGTGTACATCTGCATGCAGCCCATGGCGGAAATAAGAACAAAGCTGCATTAAGCCCGGGAGTGATGCTGATAGGAGAGATGTGGTGGGTAAGCAGTTAAGCACCAGTGATGAGCAGCTGCTGGGCTCCTGAATACAAGATGTTTGGTTGAACATCACTCTGTCAGCCCAAAATAGGCACCCGTGCCCTCCCCGCGCAGTAGCGGCTGCACACTTTCCTTTATACACACTCCAGTTCTTAACAACTCATAAAACATTCACAAGACCATCTGAAAGCACTCTTATGAAATGTTCAAATTATACACCAAAATGCAGATGCAAGCAAGGAGAACTGCACACAAAGCTATTTGTTCTTAAGGCTGCAGCTGCCCTGTTTCCCCACTGGAGCCAAACCCTCTTCCTCTCTCAAGGTCCACACGAAAACACCGCTCTTTTTTTCTGAAGACCACCTGGGGCATGTCACACTTTCACCTATGGGAATTCTGGCAGCATTTTGCAAATATCAAACATGCCCTCATTCACTTTTGCCCTTCAGTCTCTTCTGTGCAGAGGGGAGGACCTTGGGATGGGGTTGGACACACCAGTAAGAATTCCTCAGCTTCTGGAAAAGCCCTCCTACCTGCCAGATCCCTCTGAGTGATGTGGTTCAGCTGTTATAAACTCCCCCGCTGTAGGACGGAAAGCAACAGAAAGAAAAGGGTGTACAAGCATCACCTGAGGACATTTTTTACTCTCTGTCATTAGTTAGCTCCCTCCTCTGCACCACAGCATCAGCTTTCCTCACAGCAGCTCTACTGCATCCTGCTTACCCTTCACACTCTTTCTGTCTTCCAGGACACAGTAAGGCCTGTCAGCCTTAAATTTAGAAAGCAAATCTGAATTTTGAAAACATCTCCCCATCTTCCTCTTCTCCCTGCACATGCTCAGCCCTGCCTTCCTCAAGAACTCAGAGCTTCCCTACCTTCACGCTATCCCAAATGTTTAAGTCATTCCCATTTCTCTGTAAGATGACTAATGCTCCACTGAAGTCCCTGCTGAACTGCTGGGAAGAGGGAACAAAAATGGACACAGAGCAGGGCAAGATTTGTTGTTGCTGCTAAGGGGAAATGCGGACAGGCAGGGAAACTGAAATAAAACCCTAGAGCTTGCTCTTGTTTTCTCCCGAGAGGGTGGAGAGAAGTGTTATCGCCCCCTTCATGTGCAATCACTGCTTTGACAACTGTAAAGGACTTTGCAAGCAAGGTACTGCATGGGTTGCGCCTCCTGCTATGACACATGATCCCCAACTCATTTTCAAAGGGGGCAATTTGCTGCTTCTGGCATCGACACAGTTTTCTTATGACAAGAGTTAGCCTTGTTGCCACTGTCTGCTCCTATTAGATGGTTCACCCTCCTCTATTCTCAGTGTCCTTGCTCTTCCTGTAACCTCAAATCCACTTCTTTGCCAAATTACCATGCAAGGTGTTATTTGCTTCTTTCCTATTTCCTGTTCTTTCTGTTGCTGCAATACCTGCTTTTCCAGGAGTGAGCTTACTTACCCCCATGGCATATTCTTTCCTGCTCCTCATCTTCTTTGATAAAAAAACCTACTTTTATGCTGAATTGACTCCTACATGTATTCCTTGCTGCCTCTTCACCATCTCGACTCACTTCCCAAGCCCTGCCCTCTTATTTTCACTTCCTTTGATGCAAGATATCTTGCAGATTTCTACATAGAATTATCCCCATTTTCTTCTCTAAAGTCCCCAGTTTTGTTCAGATCTAAGCAGCTCCTCATCTAGCTGCTTCACTCCCCCACAGCTATGCCACTGGTGTTATGGCTTGGTTTTTTTAACTCTTCTTCCTTATAGCCATTCTTGTCCCTGCTAGATATTCTTGCCAAGCTTTCATTCTTTGTTTTCTCCCCAGTATGTACATGCATTCTAAGTGTTGGAGAGCAAGACCCCAAGATAGGACTCCAGCAATTGCTCCATCCCACAACATCTTTCATTCACTGAACAAAACAGCTAGCCACTGTCAGGAGTGCCTTTCTCCATTTTAGATTGTCTCCAAAGCTCCTTCCACTCCTCAATTCTACCCATCCTGGTCTTACCACAACCCAAATAAGCTTGTAGACAAAGCCCGGAGGCAGTAACTCTGTACTTGGACTTCCTAGACTCCATTTACTCAGATAATGAACCAAGATGTGTTTGAGATATCTGATTTTCTCTAAGCTCCATGGCCATCCCCAATACAGGCTGTCTGTTCAGCCTGTCTCCTGGAGAAACTGCCTTAGCTTGCTTTGTCTCTGGCTTCTGGTGGGCACCATCCAGTTGCAAACAGAGTCCCCTGGGTATCTGCACCTCTATGCACAGATTCAGCCATTGCTTCTGCAATAGTAGCTTGTGCTTCTGCCTCTTTGCTTCAGTGCTCCTCCTGTCTAAACTGAATTCTCTGCTAGTATCTGACATCTCAACTTGCATATCTAGCTGTCAGCTCTGACTTTATTATGCTGTGCTTGAGAGCATCTTCCTCTCCTTAAGGTAACCCCTTAACTGCTTTTTTGGTCACTGCAGACATCCCTCTCCTGCTGCAGATCTCATTGGCCAGTGAATCTGCATGTTAGTCTTTACCTTCAACTCCTTGCAAGGTCTTCTGAGCCAGTCAGTGCCTGCATTTTTCATGCTTTCTGAGTAACAGCTCCAAAATGTTACTCATTTTAGAGTAACAACTCACTCACCCAGTCATGTTTTCATTCAAGCCCACAGCATTCCCACAGCAGTTTTCCTTCTGGCCTCAACATAAGGCAGCCTTGCTCTACAGATAGAATAGCTGGAAAGCTATTCTCCTTGTCCATCACACTGGCCACACCACTTTTCTTGATTTCTCTGATAGATCTTCTCAAATATGCCAGACATACTCTTTCTCTTCACTTTCAAAGTCCTGTTTGGCCTATCCACATATCACTGATCCTCTTTCCCATAATTCAAAAGTTAACTCTCAACTCTGATGGAGCCATGATTTCATGCTCCTCTGCCCATTTGTTCAGTCTTTAATTGACTTCCTTTAAAGAAAAAACAAGAAAAAAAAAAAACAACCAGTTTTTACAGCACTCCATTACCATTAGGGAATTTAAAAATAGCCATAAAGGTTCATCATTTTCTGCTGTCAAACTCTCCCTAAAAACTGGCTTCACCAGAGGATCAACTGGGCAAGAGCTGTGGGACATCAGCAATTTACAATATTCTTATTGCTCTTCAGCTTGCTCCATGTCTTTTACTTCGCTGATACCCTCTGAATACTTACTTATTTGTATTACACTCTCAGAAGCCCTAAGATGGAACAGTCCTGGTTTGGCCCAACACCCTTACTTACAAAGAATCATTTTGAAAACAAGAAAACTGAGATGTAGACTTGAACCGGTCTTCTAATTCAGAAATGCCCAACACCAAACTACATTTATTCATGAGGACACAAAAGAGCTATGAGTTGATCAGCCTGGTTCTGCACCTCTGTGTTTTCAGAGAAGCTGTTGCCTAGTGATGCAAGTTGATCTGGAAGAGCTATGATGAAACTGCTGAGAGTAAATCACAAATCAGTCCCCTATTAAATGGCTGAACTTTAGCATCATGCGCTTGGATTAAGAGGTTGGAGTTATGTCTCTCTTTTTGCCAGGGAGTTCACTCCTGCCTGAAGTAAGGACTTAAGCCAACTGTTCCCAGCTGATGTTTCACTGGGCAGACACAGAACTGTTTGGTTCTAAGATGCCAAAGAGAAGGTACTTTGGAAGGAGAATGAAGAGGAAAGTTCCCAGAGTTGTGCTCCTGAACCCTCCCACACGAGTCAGGGAGAGCCAAACACAGCAATCCTGTCTAGTCGCATCCTGCTGACAACCATATAACTACTCAGCAGGCACTGAAGGATATTTGAGCAGTGATGTTATTTTCCTGAGCTCCTCTGGTTTCTGGAATTGAGCGTATACCCTTGGCAGGTGAGTACCCTTGAATCTGTTGCAGCGTAACTCCTGAGCTCAGGCAGGGCCTCCTCCCTGTATCAAGGCTTCCACTTGTAAGCCAACATCACATCTACAAAGCTAAGCAGCCAAGAGACCACCAATTCCAGGTACAGACCCAAAACCCCACATCTTGTTGCTCAGGTAGAGACAGCAGCAATTTATACAGATGTCAGGAAGGGATAGGATGCAGAGAATATTCCTGTCATTCCTCCCCAATCTAGGTCAGGACGTTTTTTTACTTTGCAAATTGAAGCGAGTGCTCTGATATACAATTATAATGTTCTGGGCTTTCAATACCTTCACAAGCTGGAGAGTAATTATTTCCTTTTGTTTGCTCAGTATATTTAGCAAAATAATTACAATTCACTAGACTGTTTGTTTTGGTATATTGGCATAGTTCTCTCTCCCTCTGTTTCCTTTCATAGAAGCTATGGTGTCATTTTTGCATGTCTTATTTTCTGGGGGGGAGGGTTACACATGAGAAAAGAACCCTAAATAGTTTCTGACAGAAATTCCACTTGAATCTTTTCTAGTTCTCCAGAAAGAAAAGATCCACTCTTCAGAAGAAATAAATGTGAAGGAATAAATGTGAAGGCAGATGTTGCATTATCTGCTGGATGCAGACTGCTCTGCCCATAAAGGCCAGTTAAACATGGCATCTTACTAACCCATGCTCTGTGAATCCACACTGCCAGAGGAGGAAAGTCAGTAACAAGTCTACCTACAAGCCCTAGCCGCTTTGTTGCATTCAACAGCAAAGAGCCCAAGTTATTCCTCTGTTTGATGCCACTTACAAGATGTTAACCTAAAGCTTAAGCATAGATTTCAGCTCAGGCACAAGCCACCCAGATACCGCAAGTCTCATGTTTCAGACACAGGTGTGCCTTAAGGAACAAATCAATTTTGAACGTGGGATTCTAGGTATCACTGATTACAGAAACCTGGGCCCCTCTTCCCAAAATGCCTTCAGAGGCTGCACAACCGAAGGCTCCTCTGAATGGGTCTTTCCCTTGTCTTTTCCCCTTGTTTCTGTGCAACTGGGCTATTATTTTTTAACTATTTCTCACTGGGCCTGACATTCCAGGTTTGATATTTACTGCAGCCCACTAATCTGTACTCAAGACAATTTCCAGGGAGAGGCCTTTCCTGCTGTTTTGACCAGATGCGGTCCATGCCTCTTGAGACAGAAAGTATGCAGCCCTGCCTGATGGCACCCAGGAGGACATTAGGCCTGGAACATCCCCAGTAGTACCGGGGACGATGCTACACTAAAGTTATTATTAACAACAGATTCAAAACCTCTTTCTTTCTCACAGTTATTTTTGAAGCTGCATTTTAGTGCTTTTTGCTCCTCTCAGTACCACTGAAATGTGCTGTATAGTAATCACTGATGTAAACAGTGATAAGGGAGCAGAGAAGTAGAGGGGAAAAAGACAACTGGGCTGTCACTACTTCTCTCCCCTCCTTTTATTTTTTTTATTTAAAGTAGCATCACCTTACCAAGCTCAGCACAAGCATACGTTTTGCTTGTGGAGGTTTAGATGTTTGGCCATTGCAAAAGGATGCTACAATTTTGTCAATTCAGTTCTCAAACCTTTCTCGGGAGGGAGGACGGGAGAAAGGATATACATGCAAATCAAATTTTATCCTTTAATGGATCTGCACTCACAGCAGGTCCCACAGCACACCATTATAAGCATTTACATTAGACACAATGATCACATTTCTGAAGCCTTTATCTTCTGCCGACTGAAGACAGTGGCCATAAGGATTAGATTTCATATCTTAATGAGAGTTCAGTCCCAACAATATTGTGCCTCTCGCTGCCCATTTCGTCTTGATGGAAATGCACCTTGCTGGCATGGCTTAGTGAGAACATTCCTCCCTCCCTCCTTCTTTACCATAACAGCTTTTTAGACAACTGTGTTGTCCTCAATTACACAGATATGATTGCTATTGTCTATGAAATAGAAAACACTGTAATCACTCCCAATTTATTTTAGGCACACTTCAATGGATGTGATGCATCTTCATTAATTTTGTGCAGTGGGCAAAAATATGATGCCTCAGAGGGGAAGTAGAAATAAAAAAAAGATGATGGACACAACACCCTTTCCAAATGTCTAAGTGAAATCTTTATATTCTGGTAATGGAGTTGAAGGAAAAATTATTTCCAGCAGTAATGTATTTCATGCTTATTCCTTTTTTCATTCCAGACTTCTGAACATGACCAGCAGCAACAGCTCCAAAAGGAGATAATTTATACTGGAACAAAGTTTAAATTGCATCTGAGAATATTATGAGAAGATTTCTTTGCACTTTAAAAATAAAAAATTGATCAACTGTACACCTGTAGTCAGACAATCACCAGCTACATAAGTTTCTATATTTAGTTCCTTACATTATCTGCCCAGTCTAAGGAACAGTCCCCCTAGAGAATGGCGTTCTTCTGTACCCCTAATTAAACTTGGAAAAGAAAATTCCCTGGAGTCAGTGTTTGCTTTTATTCTTGGTAGTCTAGAAGTATTTCCAGTTCCCTGGCACTTTGGTTGCAAGGCCACACATCAGTAAGCTCTTCCATAGGAGCATCACCCATCATGAAAAACCAGGACTGACACAAGGCACAGGCAGTGCTGCTGAGGGCAGCTGCCAACTGCAGCAAGCAAAGGCACCTGCCCTGCTGCTTATTTTCCCTTTTCCCTGTCATGAGGGGAAGGCAATGGTGCTGGACCATACCACAGGCATTGGCTGCTAAGGTCAGGGATGCTCACTCCTAGCAAACTCAGCTCCTGTCTCCAACCCTCAGCCTGTATCAGGAGCAGTGACAGGCTTTCCCTCCAGCCCAGCTGTACCAGCTCTGCCCTTTCCATTCTCCCTCAGAGGAGCAGCCTGCAACTTAACATCCTCAGGATAGCAAAACTAGTGGTGCCAACCTCACCAAGAAGTGTTCAGGGTTGTTGAGACCACCAAAGCAAACGGCCCCAGCTCGGAGTGCATCATTCTTACCGAAACATGCCAGGTACCTGAGTACTCGCATAGGACAGTGCTGCTTTTTCTCATGTTTCATGGAGGCACTACAGCATGGCTTCACACTGTTGAAGCCTCACCTCTTTCTTCGGGTAGGCGAGCTCTGAACTTTCAGTCTTAGCAAGACAACCTAAAGCACGTAGGTTAGATATTCCTTGCCAATGGGTTAACTCTCACCTGGGCTTGCGAAGGTCTAAAAGCAGAGTCAAAGCCACGCTGCAGAGAGTCCAGAAAAGGCTGGATTTTGTAGAGGCCATGCGTTGTCTGGCTTGAACGGAAGGCCACGATGTGGAAGTACTTCAGGATCTTCTCAAACCGTGTTTGTGTCATGATAAGTGCAATGCTCTTGTTGCTGTAGAAGCCGCTGCTCCAGATGCTGAGAACAGACTCACAGTGGTGGATGCTGGTTGATATCATGTAGCCTAAGAAGGCTTTCATTTCCGTCAAGGTGACATCAATCCAGGCATCGTCGCTACCGAACCTCTCCTGGTACTTCTTGGCATACATGTTGGTTTGGACTACCATATTCTTTAGTACATTGTCAGGGACAAAGAGCTGAAAAAAGTCCATGGCACTGGCTGTTAGGGGCATTTTTCGGGTTGGACCTAGGACAAAAGCAAGCAGGGAAAGTAAGCTTACTCCTGATCATCACCAGCATCATGTCTAACATCAGCAATTTAAAGCAAGATTATAGAATCATATAATAGGGTTGGAAAGGACCTTAAGTTCCAACCCCCCTGCCATGGGCAGGGACACCTCACACTAAACCATATCATCCAAGGCTTCATCCAACCTGGCCTTGAACACCACCGGGGATGGAGCATTCACAACTTCCCTTGGCAACCCATTCCAGTGCCTCCCCACCCTTACAGTAAAGAAATTCTTCCTTATATCCAATCTAAAACTTTCCTAAAGCAGCTAAACAAGGCCAAAGTGATGGCATGTCAGCTAACTCCTTCGAAAGTGTACCCACCGGCTGACAGATGCCATCAGGAAATTCTTCCCCCCCCCGTCTTCCTCCTAAATGATAGAAATACCACACACTGAACAGTTTGTTCCTCTGCTCACTCTGTAGCACGCAGGTCTGTGAGGTAGCATGCATTTAATTTTACCACTTACACACCATCTGTACACTCAGCTGCTGTTCTGGCCTTTTGGGGGGATAGTTTTTTATTTGTACATATGCATGTCAGAACACTGCCTTCCTCAAAACAGCCCAGAAGAAAGGTGTCTGAGCCCTCCAGACAGAGATTACTGTCCCCATCCCAGCTGACATGATTCCTGGGCACTAGAACCTGATCCCACATTTTCTTTTGCACCTCTAATTCCTGACCGGTTCATTGTCATTAATCCTGTGACTTTCAGTCTGCTTCTCTTCACTCACAGAACCATGCAGATCACGCCTGTGTGCTTCTGAGTTCTTTGTGTCTGCACTCTGACATCCCCAAGAGAGCACCGTCCCAGAACAAGTCAAAGACATCATGTAGCTCATGTCACTGTCCCACATCACAGGGAATAATTTTAGCACTACAATGCATGCACTGGTCCTCTTCCTCCCATAACATAACAAACCTTGCAGTCCTGTGCTGTCATTACTCTAGCTTTTCACTGACCTTGCACCTTCTCTGCCAGTTTCAACTCTTCCATGGGAAAGGGGGTGTGAGACATATCCTCTGTTCTCCCACAGAAGCAGTGAAAATTAATATACCTGAGAAGGGCAGCATGGACAGGGCAGTGCTAAACAGTAATTCTACATCCATGTGCAAAAGATAGTGTCATGATTATAACCCCAAACGAGAAGTTGGATTCAAAACCCACTGTGCCTTCAGCCTTGGGACTGTCTGAAAAACACTCTTCCTGATCAAATGCAGGCAAGCACACAGCTTCTCACTTAAGCTCTTCTGCCTAAGAAGAGTGAAACTTCCTTGTACTATGTGGCTGCCAAGATCTCAGTATCAGCTCTCCCACCTGAATCAGAGCATGAGATTTGCCATTCTACAACCTGGTTCTGCAAAAATCCACTACTGTGTTGGGCAGGTCACATTCCCCAGGACCCCTGTAGCTCAGTTCACATCCTTACTTGCAGCAGCAACTATAGCATACAGAAATTTTGCATGAAACTACAATAATACTGTGGTTGGACTTGCTTTCAAACCTTAATGTTTGGGTGAGCCCTGGTGAACTCAACTATTAGAAGGAAAGCAAAAATAGCACCAAGATATTGAGACAGTGAACCTTCAGACTGCAAAGAATGACAAAAAAGCAAACAGTTCAGTGGGGAAAGAAACATATATTTAAAGGTTACTTCCTAATTTTAACTTGAAAGATAAAGAGACTGAGAGTGAAACAGTTCAATTGAAAGCACACTGATCTATATGACAAGACCAGAGTAGAGATCACAAATCATTTTCTGGTAAGGACAGAGCAGAAAATGTCATCTTAAATGAGAAAACAATTTCATTATTAAGTGAAAACTATGGGGCTAGAATAGATATCATTACTTAAACTTAACTGCTATTGTAATAATAAAGCATCTTAACAAAGAGTTCCCTTCTTTTGATCAGATTTATATTCTGCTAGCACCCACCAGACTGTTATAAAATGCTCTATGAATGATCCTGTATGAATATGTTACAGTACATCATCTCCTTCTTCCCTATAACATAAGTTTTGACATTCGACAGTAGAGACAGCTTTCTCATAACACACAGCACAGACTGTATTCCTAGTTATACATGAAGTCTTGAGCAGATGTTTAATTCAAATCCAGTGCCCAGGCAACCTTCCAGGTAGAGTGTAAAGGTAGTACTCAAATTCTTGCCTTTAGAAGCAGAAGCTGGGAGTAGGGATAAGATTTTAAACCTTGCCTACAGCAAACAAGATGCATTCATAAAGCATTAAGACTTACAAAACGAAATATGTTGGTTTGGAGACGGGCGGATATGGACAATAGATATGTGCTGGACTCCATCTTTAGGAAGTCAAGAGCAGTCAGAGGCACAAAAAGGAACCTTTGATGCAATTCAATTTGCAGTAGCTGCACAAGTTTACCTTGAAAAGTGATTATGGAAAACTGTCAGGTATACTGGATAGGACAATAGTCCTGCTCCAGCTACACAGAATCCCCTTATCTCCTCTCCTTCCTGAAATAAATGTAAGATTTGTATCCCATCGACCATGCAGAACCCACACAGCTCTAAAAAAGTGAGCTGAATCACTTTCTGACTCAAACATCAACTTAATTGTTGACTAAATATAATTCTGAAAGCCCCTGTATAATCTCAATGTCTTAAAAACCAGCCTCAATTGGCAAAGTGAGCACAACTGATTCATAATTTACTAAGGCACAATAAAACAAGAGTGACACTGAATTTCTGTAGGAAGAGAACTAATTTTTGCATGAATTGGGTTTTGCATAATGACTAGCTTAAAATAAATTACTTAAATATAACTAAGTATACAGATATATCCCATATATAGAGACAACTGCATAAGAAACTTGAAATAGTGAATTTGTACTTTTTAAGGACTTTAAGTCCTTAAAATGGCACTTACTCAGAAAACACTGATACGCAAAGGGTTCATTGTTCCATACATGGGCTGCTTACCTGTCAAAGCTTTATTCAGTCAAATAGAATAGTGGCTTTGCCTAGTCTTCTGCTGAATACAACTATGAGTGCACGTAAAATTCATATGTTTCTCTCTCCTCTGCTCTAAAGCGTGTGCATGGAGAATATATTTACTTATATAGGGAGTTTTCTTTTATTACTTTAAAAATCAATTAGCCTCCCAACGTAAGGTATAGCATCAGAGCACAAAAGCGCTCTTGGAGTTTCCAAACATGTAGCTAGAGCCAGGGTTCTGTGCATACCCAGGCAAGGACAGAGCTCTGCTGAATGCCTGGGCAGCACACAAAGCAGCACTAACACATTGAACTTGGTTTAAGTGACCTTGCAGAACATGGAAAACACATAAACTTCCTCGATTATGATAAAACAGGCACACACAAATGCTGCTTCCTTCTCACCAGCAAAAAACTTACACAGGTACCCAGCAGCAATCACTACTGCTACTAGATCCTGTTTTGACCAGGTTGGTTCCATTTTTTGGTTTGCACTCAGAAGGAACATCTCCCCAAGTGCCACAGCTATTTAAACTGTAATAATAGACTCAAAATAAATGAAGAAGCTAAGCAGGGAAAGCCATTTGTGTTTCCATACTGGAGACAGGATTGTGGAACGGAGGCTGGCACCTCGCCCTCAGACTGAGCGCATTGCAGAGCCCATTTTGGCTCAACTCAGCTCAGCAAACTGCAGCAGCCTTGCTGGGTCCAATGCCTAGTGAGAGAGCAGGCTGCACATTCAATGTCTCAGCAAACATCCACATTGCAGAAAAAAACAGAAAGATTAAGAAAAAATTCACATGAAACTTCCCTGTGACCATCCTTCAACCAGCCCCTGCATGTCCTCCTAAAGTCTCTGGTCTTCTTTCTTGGATGTGTTCCCATCAGTCACATTCTTCCCCCTGCTCCAATCCTACCACTCTTTCTAGCCTTCCTTACTGAACAGCACATTAGGAAAAAGCTAAGAACTCCAAGTGAATAAACTGCTTTTTCCCTACTTAACTGATTCTGCAGGACTAAGTAATTTGAGCACATTTTCAGTAAGTTAATTTATCCTTTTCCATTTCTCCTGTTCTGATTACCAAGCCATTTCTTAGTAGCTCAGAGTTTACAGACTCAGAATAAAGATGGAAAGTTTCAAAACCTACTGTAATCTTGGTGTTTCCAACATAACATACAAATCTTAAGGAGGTCAGAAGCATTGTCATTTGGGCAGGATAAATCAGATGTGTAAGAACAAAATGCAGTGGAAGGAATTCCTCCTTTGGCTCTGCTGTGCAAAAGACTTAGTGCTCTCATTCAAAGTGTAACCAAGGTTTGTGACATAAAATATCCTGTTATGTTGGTAGGCCCAGTATTACCATATGTATGCCAATCCAAAGTGCATGGTTTGGAAGCAAACCTTTTACAAAGCTAAACAATGGTTGATTTTGAAATTCATTTAACTTCATCAGCAATTGGGCAGAACCCAGTATTCCTGAATCAGGCACAGGAATGGTAGAAGCATCAGTTTAAGGATTCAGAAGTCATTTTATTGTCCTCTTTGTACAATCTGTAGTCACGCATGAGGATACCACATTTATGTGTGTTATATACTGACACCCAAGAAAAATCTATCCAGAACCTGTTGGGTTTTTGGCAATTGGGAATTATTTTCTACTTTGACATATGACACAGCTGTCAAAGACCAGGGTCTGAAAAACCAATTAATTCCTTCTTCCAAAATCCAAGCAATTGAAGACTGGTTTATATTCCTGAGAAGTTAACCTTTCTGACAGGTATGATTTTGGGGTCTTATTTAGAGAACATAAAAAAATGCTAATGGAAGATTTTTGTCAGAAAATACACAGTCATCAAAAAAATCATGATGGAGAGTGTCAACTGACGAAAAATGACAGGAAGTTCAATTCATTTTTCATCTTTCTCAATGAATAGAGACCAACACAAACAGCTCAAAAAATAGCAACAAAATCAAAACCCAAT